AAACAAATGGCGGACAATTTGAATCATATTTCCGACGACGAAGAGTCAGAATGGCTGGCAAATATAGATCCAAGTTCATTAGATGAATCGAACGAAGAAAAACAGCTTGACGACCAGAAAATTTCTTCATTTAATGAAGAAAATAGAAACAGCAACACAACAACGCGCCAATTCCGTTCCGCTTCGCATACTTCTGTCACGCACTCCCCGTAAATAAATATCCGCGAAATTCGCCCGCACTGAAATAACAGTTTGGCGTGTTGGATAATAAATAACTTATTAGACGTTTTGTTGTGTAGTATCGCTGAGTATTTTTACGAGTTGTGCCGTATTTTGACGAGCCCGTAGGGCGAGTCAAAATACAAATAACGAGTAAAAATACTCAGCGATACTACACAACAAAACGTCTAATAAGTTATTTATTATCCAACACGCCAAACTGTTATTTCAGTGCGGGCGAATTTCGCGGATATTTATTTACGGGGAGTGCGTGACAGAAGTATGCGAAGCGGAACGGAATTGGCGCGTTGTTGTGTTGCTGTTTCTATTTTCTTCATTAAATGAAGAAATTTTCTGGTCGTCAAGCTGTTTTTCTTCGTTCGATTCATCTAATAAACTTGTATCTATATTTGCCAGCCATTCTGACTCTTCGTCGTCGGAAATATGATTCAAATTGTCCGCCACTTCTTTTTTTTTCGTAACTACAATCCAATTCTTCGCTTGCGCGATGCGAGAAAACCTGTTTAACCGGTGCTAGAATAGACGAGTACAAATACCGCGTGATATTTGTACTCGTCTATGGCGTTATTAGTACTGGTCTTGGTGTAGTTGAATAATAAGATGGAGGTATGGCACAAGAGAAGTAATCTTAAACAGGTTCACCACCAAATTGAAATGACTGCAACCACTGCACTCCTTCAGCAATTATGCAGCTTAGGTTAAGTAATTTCTTTTAGGCTGAAGTTGTAATATTTCTGTTCTAACTGATCTCTTTGGATCAACCTCGTTCCCAGGGTCTCTCATCTTCCCCTCACTCGCCTCCAGGGGGCGGAAAGATGAGAGAGCCTGGGAACGAGGTTGTCTTTGGATCGGAGGAGAAGGGGGAAGGCAGGATGGAGATGGGTACGCACATTTGCGCATCTGCGCTATTTTTTGGCCTGATTCCGTTGCCATCATCATTTTCGTTGGAATTCAGATCCACATAACTGTAAAACCCTTCGAGGTTTAGGAAAGTGGTGTTGTCATGATAGCATTACCAGGAACTTATTACTTGGGCTCTTGGCATTACAAACTGACTTTTTTAAATTTTTTTTTTTCTTTTTAACTCAATTTCTCTAAACGCTGAAGAATGAAACCCGAAGTTCACAAAAGACTAAAAGGTTGACTCATTGAAGACTATGAAGACAGAAACGATGGAATCGGCAGTCTGAACAAACATTTTTCGTCCGACGCACGATCAAAGTTATTTTCAGAATTCGCAAATCTGATTTTTTGCAACAATCCCTTACTCCAAGGCCATCATTTTAAAAAGTCGAATTCGCCGCGCTCTCCAAACTTTTTCACCACGATGAAACCACTATGAAACTAAAGGCTGTTTGAGGACCACGATGAAACTAAACGCTGTTTCAGTTGAAGACCACGATGAAACTAAAGGCTGTTTGAAGACCACTATGAAAATAAACGCTGTTTGAAGACCACGATGAAACTAAAGGCTGTTTGAAGACCAGTCCATACATTATCAACCACGCTGACGTTAAGAACCTTGTCTGAAAGGAATGATGTTTTCAGTTCATTGAAGCTTAACCGTAAAATTATTTGGGGTAAAATTCTCGTTTGAATGCATCAGTGATGCATTCAAATTACTCATTACCTTTGTAAAATAAAACACGAGCTACCTGTTGACCGACAACTGCGTTTAGTTGTATCACGCTCGCGTAAGCGTAGCAGCCTAGAAGTGGTAAAATATTTCACGCATCGAATTACTTCATTGGATACGCCCTGACCAAATATCAGCTGACCTGGGGATCAAACGGGTCAGTAATTGATACCCTTCAAGCCAAGACTGATAAAATAAATTAGCCGTAAGCAAAGTTCAAAGTTGGTGTGTACTTAGCTTACCAGGGGGCTTGAGTTAAGAATTAATCATGAAGAAAACTATACTGTATAACACTGACTTGATGCAAAAGCACTTTTCACTTAAGTTAGTCTTCCTTGGCAAATACAAGTCAATGAGTTTTAAATTAATTCAAGAACCACGCCAAAGTACAAGGAAAAAATAAATGTAATGGCAAAACGTCTTCCGATAAATAAATTTATCTCCCCAAAGAGTTTATTATTCCTCTAAATACGAACGGGTTTCGTTCTGAAAACGTTAAATTACGATGTAATATTGGTTTTTGCCTTTCGCGCCTTTTCATGAAGTTACCATATTAGGAAGTCAGTAATGTCTTCCGTCGCATTTCAAACTGCACGGAAACGAGGCTAGCTACATTGAGTAAGAATAGGAAATGAACGGAAGTCAAAATCGAATGGTTCCAGGATATTCAGGCAATCCCCAATGTCTAACACATCGATATGCAAGCTTCTGTGGTCGTCTTTCTTCTGGCCTGGTTTAGGTTAGCGACCACAAACGAAGAAAGCGACGGGGAAGTACATTTTACTAATTCGTGGGCTGTTCATATCGAAAACGACGACTTCGAGGCGGTGAACAATATCGCACAAAAGCACGGCTTTATCAATCAAGGACAGGTAGGTTGATACGGAGACTTAACCACCTTGTCAAAGTTGCAGCGATTCAATCGTGTTCGGAGCAAATTTATTTTTACAAGAGTGTTAATCTAAGTGCGCGAACATCAAGCGCTTGATTTATTTGTTTTGTTATACGGGTCGGACGCAAAGACTTGTTGCTTTTATTATGAAGGTCAGTGAGGTACCAGAAGCCATGTCACTTCCTAAGGATCAACAAACGGTCAACCTGTGCTTGTTGATGTTTTTGTGTATTCTAGATAGGGAGTCTTCCGGGATATTATCATTTCGTAAAACACAATGTTCGTGAAAGATCGCGACGGAGCTTAGATGATCACAGCGATACCTTACTATCGGAGCCTAGGGTAAGTTTCATATTTGTGTTCTTTTTATCATTGTCTCTTTAATTTACTGGTGGATTTGAATTTAATCACGGATTGCTACCGGTGGATATTGAAAAGGATACCCTCTTAAACCATGCACTGGTAACTCAACTCAAAATCAATCCTGAGTGGAAAAGGTTAAAAACCTTTGTTAATCACTGCTACTGTGGGAAAATTGACTGATCTACGCTTTGTGGTTCTTGCAATTTAATTTGCTCAGTGACTGTAAATAACACCAGCTCAAAATGTGCAGTCACCAAGAGACCTAAGAGAGCGTAACTACTGCCACTAACTTTTGACAGGAAAATTATCGACACGTGAAATTCGCCGACAAGTTTAATTAAATCCTCGGCTTCTTGACACATCTCAGAGATGTCTCGACTTCGTGGCTATGCTTTCAGGGAAAACTCTACTTGGACATAAGTAAACTTCGCACTCTTAGCTCATTGCAAATGATTTTGTAATGAACTGACAACTGGTTTAAGTTTTTAATTCCGATTACATCCTCCTGTAAGTTTGTTATGGAAGATTTGCGTATTTTTATTTCCAATATTCAGCTGTTTGCGAGTGTCAGGTCTGAAGTAGCTTGATAGATCAGTCGAATTTTTAAGATTTGTGTCGACTTTAGGCAAGTCTTAAACGGATGTGAAAAGGGCAGAAAAATTTTCAGTTTTACTGTTCACCATGGAAATGAACGTTATTAACGTGACAGCCCTTTGCCGCTTATAAGGTGGATTAGGAACTATTTTTCTAATTATTCCCTTACCTTTTCTACTATATATGGCAGTTACTGAAAACAAACTCGCTTCACTAGCTGACAGAACGTCATGATCTTTCCTGAAAGTATCTAACCTCACCATGAAAAAAAGAAAACGTTTCGATAGGAAAATTCTATGGGTTCATTTTATTGGTTTTACTTTGCGATTCCCAGACTAAATTAAGCTGTAGTGTTTTTCTGAACACTGACACAAAGAATCTATCAGTAGCCCGTCTGAAGTAGAATGAATCGTCAGATAATCATTTTTGGAGGTGTTTAAGTAAAACCACCGCGTCTAAGACCCTCGTTGCCGTCTGTTGAGCCCGCGAGCAGGCTCTCGTATCATGATGGTTTCGCCTTACGGCTCTTTTTCCGGGCACAGCCGCTTGTGGAAACGTTATTGAAAGCCCTGTGTTCGCAACAAAATAACACGATTTCCTTCAAAGAGTTGACGCTCATAGTCATATTGCGCCAATGTTTGACTATAAATCCAAGCACTCAAGTCATCTTTCTGGTCAATTCGAAGAGCGCCGTAACGGTTTGATGACCCCAGTAGTTGGGTTATCAAAATCTACCTGGAAGATCGCTGTATTTTCTTTAGAATTTAAATGTGCCGAAACATGTTAACCCTGCGGTATAAATGCCTATTACTATCTAACCTGACTCACTCGGAAGCCGTAATTTCGCTGTACGCAAGGTTTGGGTCAAAAACAGTCTATGGCCATAGCCCTCAGTGTTTCGCTCCTTGCCCAAGTCAGTTATTATCGTAAATATAATGTATCGTGTCTAACGCTCAGGTAAAATGGGTGGAGCAGCAAAGAATTCTGGAACGGAGCAAGCGTGACTTCATACAAGGCGAAGATGAACTGGTGCAGAGATCAGTGGCTACACTTAGGCAGGATACCGCTTTCACAATCCGCGATCCCTTCTTCAAGGATCAATGGTATTTGGTGAGTAGCTAGTAAGCCATGGGTCAGTTACTTCTCCTTTTTTTTCCAAATGAACCTTGCGTGGGAGAGAAAATTGCCAATTTCGAAGCTAGATTCGTTTCAAAACAGTCAGGAGGCATTTCTAAACAACTCAGTAAAGGACTGTTATCCATCAGTACCAATAGAAACGTATCTTGTGCACGATCCTCGCAGTAAAGAGCACTATTTAAGCAATAGTGAAAATCAGACCTGAAAAAAAATTCAGGCCTGTACGGGATTCGAACCACTGACCTTTGCGATACTAGTGCAGCGCTCTACCAATTGAGCTAACATTCCAACTCGGAACAGGTTATCAAATTAATTCGACAAATCCGTAAGATGATACAAATAGAAATGGTTTTTAAGGGATATTGATCTACAACTCAATAGTAACGCCAATTTTTGAATGGACTCATCGCACTATTAACAGCCCTCTAGTTGCGCAAAGTAGCATCCATTTACAAAGATAAAACCAAACATCAATCAGTGTGTATAGAAATAAAAAAAATTGATTTGCAATGTGATAATGATAAATTTGCAGCAATTAATGCTGAATTGCGAGTTGTTTTAGAACACTGTACGGGGGACTTGCTAGACTGCTAGTAACAGTTTGCAATCAATAAAGGCGAATCTAACAGATGCCCCCTCCCCCCAATTCCCAGTAAACAGGCCAGACCACAACACAGTAATCTCGTGAGTGGGTTCTTAAACGTCCCCTCCCTAACCAAATTAACTAATTAATTGATGCAGGAGACGGGACCTACGGTTTATTCGTCCTCATCCGAGAAGACTAGAATGTCTATCCATTTCTTGATAGTATAGAAAGGTGGCACATTCTCCTCAGTTATTTTAAGACCCTGAGTGTTGGACCGGCCGTGGCTCGAACTCTCGACCTCCCGCACAACAGTCCGGCGCTCTAACCAATTGAGCTAACCAGGAGCCTAGTTCATGGAAAGTCAATGCTGACTACTTAAATTTTGGTGTTGTTGTCAAAAAAAATAAAGCGAGCTGTTTTTGAAAGTGATCTAAGCGGCCAGCTTTAGTCGCTTTTGCCCTCTGTGATCCTAATGATGCTGAGTTGTTTTATAACTAAAATGATATTAGAACTTTTGGGCTTGTGTTTTCATTAGCAAAATATCGGACAGTCTTCGGGACCCAGCGGGGTAGATATCAGCGTGTTACCAGTTTGGGCCCGTGGATATTCTGGAAAAGGAGTCGTAGTATCAGTACTGGATGACGGTAAGAAGTGGGTCCTTACACACTGCCTTACCATGAAATGCCGGGTTTTTTATTTCAGCAGTCGCCAATTTTTTTTCCTATTTATGGCACCTTTTAGTTATTATCCCTTCGCTTTGCTTTCCGACGCGGGAGCTTTCGTTACTACTAAAAAACAACCTCGTTACCAGTGTCTCTCTTCTTCCCTTCTTTTGGAAGAGAGACCTTGGGAACGAGGTTCGACAGAGAAAACCGTGACTAGTAAATATTTAACAATTATTCCACGAGCGCGCGCTGGATATAAGATGATAGATAGCCAGCGAGGCGCGTAGCGCCGAGTTGGCTATAATCACCTCATATTCAACAAGTGCGAGTGGAACAATTGTTTTATTAAAAACGCCCCCAAGATAGTAGAGAAATCTCACCAAATCTTAAATTTTTTAGCTCTCTTTTAATTTTAAGCTGACGCGTACGCTTACCATATTTGTAGATTATAGTATATTGGCTCATATACCATAATGGCTAAGCCAATAAAAAGTCTTGAATTGCATTATCCAATGATTCAGTTTTCAATAAAAATACAAATACCGAAAAAAAATCTGGCTCCGATGGGATTCGAACCCATCAAACTTAGATATCAAGCCGTACGTTGGACAAATATTTTTGAGGGTTCCTCTTCAAATCTCTTCTAGTACTAACCTTGCTCTTTGTCGCATCTTTTATCTTTTCAGGACTCGACCACACCCATCCAGATTTAAGGAGGAACTATGTAAGTCCGTCCTTTGCTTTGACACCCGTCAACCGACAAACGAACATTGACGATTCGCTTTCTACAGGTTGCTGAAGAATAGATAAGCCGTATGGAGGCTTACAGTTTTGGAGACAGGAAATAAATTCATACGAACTAGCAACAAAAACACGCAAACTAGACAAAAGACAGAATTTATGGCACAGTTTGAGGAGGACTTGTTCATAATTCAACCTGAATCAGATTGAAACAAATGTAGATTGCCATGAATAAAATCCCTTCTAAAGTAAAGCAGTCTCATTAATTGTAATTGGAACCTTTCTCGATCGATTCAGAAACGTAAATTGAGGTCGATCACTTCTTCGTCTATTCATCTCTCATTTTTGCTTGTTGCATGATATGAAAATTAAGTTATTTTGACTCCAATAACAAAACCCTTTTTATTGTTTTTCAGGATCCGGACGCAAGCTTCGATTTTAATGATTTTGACGGGGATCCAAAGCCGCGGGACGAAAATTTGGAAAATTGGTAACATTAAGTCGTTCAAAGTTGCACTTTTATTCAAACAACGGACCCAAAATTTATGTTTCTTCTTTTTTCGTTTTTAGCCATGGTACAAAATGTGCAGGTGAAGTTGCAGCGGAAGCTAATAACGGAATTTGTGGGGTGGGAGTGTCGTTCAACGCTAGTATTGGAGGTGAGTCCAACTTTCCCTCTAAACCAATTTTAAGGTGCTGAATAAATTTTCATTTTATCACGATCTAGGACTCTTGCTTTCCCTCCAGTAAGGCTTTGTTGAGGAGTGGCGTGTTCTGGTAAATTCCAATTTTTCGTAAAAGAGAAAGTTGGAAGGTAGTTTGGAAACTTGTTCGTTTAATAAACAGATTTAAGATGCTAGATTATGAGTCCTTGAAAGAAATCGTGTACATCAGTTTCCGAACAATTATTTTCTGAACAATTATTCATTAGTCCAATCACTGAAGTATAGGAAACTAACGAGGAATCATCGATGCGGTGTTCATGTTGGTTCGCGCTTGCCTTGCGTAAGTTCTGTAAAGAAATGGATGGCTTGTTAAACACAATTCATCGATTGCATGCCATGATTTTCGCAGGCATTCGTATGTTGGACGGAAAAGCTACAGATACAATTGAAGGAAGCTCCCTAAGTTACCGCTCAGAATACATTGACATCTATAGCTGCTGTTGGGGACCAAAAGATGATGGCAAGCGATTTGGTAAACCTGGTCATCTTGCAAGTAAAGCTCTCCAAATTGGTACACATCGGGTAAAGTTATTTCGTTCTACAATGTCCTCATTTGCATGATTCTCATAACATGATAATTAACTCGCATGACTTTGAATAAAAAGGTGGAGCATTGCTTGAAGTAAATGTGTCATGTTCTTGACTAGAACAATTTACTCTCACAGTGCCTTCCTCTACACAGGAGTATGTAAATAGGTATCAGCAAATTGTCTGTGAATTAACGCTTTACACCCTAACATAAGTAAACATGTGCTCAATACTGCTCTCTACACCAGGGGCGTAGCGCGAGATTTTGAAGGTTTACACACAGCGCGGAAATTCGGGGCACCGAAGGCGCCCCAAACTAGGGGGCGGGGGTCTGGGGACATGCTCCACCAGAAAACTTTGAAATTTAGTGTCTCGGAAATGCCATTTCCCCGGAACTTTTTTTATAAATAAATGCGACAGAAAATACAGTAGTTAGTTGTTTATTTTACCCACCCTAAAGTTTTAAAGCTAAAAGGGTGTTGGCTTCCCAACACCCTTCGTGGTTTGCTTAAAAGGGACTTTAAGCAAATCAAGACGGTTACGGCAAAGAGAACGTGGAAAAACAATAGATCTAATTGGCAGAACAATGGCCCAGCACGTGCGTTTTCAAACTTTGTACATTTCTTAGCCGTCCTTTGCAAAACAACAACGTGAAATCACCAAAATTTGCGTCGTCTGTGAAGCTAAACCGCGGCGGCAAGTTATTTTAATTTACATTTGGAACTCAACGCTACTTTTATGCGTTATGTTGAGCTTGAGGTCTGGCGCCCTATGAGACGGTAAACACAACCAGCCATTTTCGAAATTCTAACTAAAAGTAGAAACTCGTTTTTTAATCGACGTCTTCCGTGGCGTTGCCGTCCTGACTGCTTAAAAAGGACCTTACGCAATCAGGACGGCAACGCCAATGAAGACGTCGATTAAAAAATGAATTTCTACTCCTAGTTAGAATTTCAAAAATGGTTGCAGGAGCTTACTGTCTTATACGACGCCACAGCTCAACTTCAGCATGACGTATAAGTAGCCGTTGAGTTCCAAATGAAAATTAAAATAATTTGCCGTCACGGTTTCGGTTCGCAGACGACGCAAATTTTGGCGATTTCACGTTGTTGTTTTGCATAGGACGGCTAAGAAATGTACAAAGTTTCAAAACGCACGTGCTAAGCTGTTGTTCTGCCAATTAGATCTATTGTTTTTCCACGTTCTCGTTGCCGTAGCCGTCGTGGTTTGCTTAAAGTCCCTAAT